AGGTATTCGGCCAATCACAACGCATTGGATAGCTGGCCAATCACAGCTCACCTCGCTTTTTCAGACCGATGAGCTTTGTAAAAATTGACGCGTTTCAGAAAGGCGGGGCATAGAGGAGAATACAGTATGTACAGTATGTGGAAAATAATGTGTTTTTTTAACCTTAAATCGCATAAACACATTTCATTACACCAAATACACAAAATAATGTTCTTTTTAGCAACATCATATGACCCCTTTAAGTGGAACAATAAGACAAAAGACGCTTATAACAACTGACGCTTATATCAAGAGAAGCTTACGGCAACATGTCGCAGGTGCATTTCTCTCTGAAGGCATGCCACTGTACTGTGGAGATGTTGAGTCAGCATCATCAACTTCATCTTTGCAGCCAACACTGACTCGGAAAATACTAGTTTATTAATAAATAATTAAAATATCTCCTTTATATATTATTTCCCCCAACACATTCATAGCAATTAATTTTGCCTGTGCTTTGTGGCAAGCTTTGGGTGCACTTTAGAATGGAATAGGCTATATATTAAAGGCTGATATATTTGTATATATTTGAGTAGCCTACTTTTAAATAATTAAATTAATACAAATGTTCAATTAGTCAACTAATGGTTTAAATGAATGACTACTAGTTGACGAGTTTTTTTTTTAAATTTTTTTTATTTTGAATAAGAATTTACTTGGGATGTGATTTTTTCATAATTACATAGATTTCCATTTTTTTTTTAGTCTGAGAAGTATGGCTTACGTGAATTGCATAAATCTGAGGAAAAAATGATGATGAAAAAACGAAAGGAAAAATGACATTTGTTGGAGAACAAACATATTTAAACAAAGATATTTAAAAATGTGTATTATTTATTTATTTATTTATTTTAATGTTTGACACACTTAAAGTCATGTTAGCAAGCTAAGCCATCAGTGTTGGGGAAGCTACTCTGAAACTGTAGCTTGATCAGCTACAAGCTACTCCTAAATTAGTAGTTAAGCTAAACTACTACAAAAAGTAGTACATTGAAACTACTTTCAAATTTTTTATTATTATTTTTTTTACAATTAACATTACAAATAACTAAATAATTATTAATGAAGAATTATAATAAAGTTATAAGTAAAATATTTGGGGTTTAAAACAAACTGTAATGCAATTAATTTTTCAAAGAATATGGTGAATTCAGGTTTATTGGGACAATTTTCCAAGCCATTTCAATTATAAAAAGTGTCCCAATCGTTTGATTTTGTAAACTATCCGATATACAGAATAATAAAATACTGTATAGTTATATAGTTATATTATCTTAAACTGACTGTCAAAGTGCAAAATTGCTACAAACGTAACATCAATGCAAGAACAAAATATATGCAAAATAAACTGGATACTGAGGAATCATAAAATAAGCAGGTTAAACTCACAGCTCATGCGGTATTTACTGACTGTGAATGGAGACGTCAATCATCAGCTGCGCGCATGAACACTGCGCTTTGCGTGAATCCCGCCACAACCATCCTTTGCCAATTGATAAGCACACTTCTATATCGCGATTTTATTTTCTGTTCGATTAGTGTTCATTACAAAACTGTGTGTGTGGGGGGGGGACAGATTATATTATGACCATTCATCATTGTAAAAATAGACATTTGATCCAGAGTGCAATAAAGAAGAGAAATTAATCAGTTTAAAAAGGCTATTATTCACCTCCTGTATGTGCTTTAAGTCTTCGACGTAGACTGCATTTTAATCTTTGTTTTGCGTAAATTATAGTTCCCGCCACAACCATCCTTTGCCAATTGATAAGCACACTTCTATATCACGATTTTATTTTCTGTTCGATTAGTGTTCATTACAAAACTGTGTGTGTGGGGGGGGGACAGATTATATTATGACCATTCATCATTGTAAAAATAGACATTTGATCCAGAGTGCAATAAAGAAGAGAAATTAATCAGTTTAAAAAGGCTATTATTCACCTCCTGTATGTGCTTTAAGTCTTCGACGTAGACTGCATTTTAATCTTTGTTTTGCGTAAATTATAGTTGATTCATGTGAAATATCCACTCCTGTACATCCTTTGCAAAACCATCAGACGATCTTTTGTCGGTGGAGAGACTGTAAAGCCACGCGATGCTTGATATGACAGCAGATGGCGGTAATAAACAAATTTAGTTTGTTATCTAGTCAGAAGAAGATGCTGCGCTGCTTCAGTGCATTACAGGCTCGTGACTCGTCAGAACGAAAAACAAAATGTAGCTTTTGGTCACGCTACACCACTACTTGCTGGAAAAAGTAGTTAGCTACTGGAAAAGCTACACTGTTTTAAAAGTAGCGTCGCTACTTGTAGCTAGCTACTCCCCAACACTGTAAGCCATTATGCAATTGCTTGACAGAATCATTTTGCTCTGTATATACATGTATTGCTTTATCTTGAAGAATTTGCATGACTGATAAAGCTAATCATTCATGAAACTTTGAGCAGCTATTCATTTGACCCACATCCATGTGTTTCGCTTTGACACACAAACCATCGCTGACCTTTGCGCTCTTGTAACCCTCCCCCAACCCATTGTACACTCATACAATGTCACCACAGGTGCCCTTGACTGGCCCTTTCCCTGATGAATGGATATTTAGGTACTACAATAATAACTTCTTGTTTTATAGCGTGGTGCCACCACTTAAGATAACTATACTCATGTTTGAGAATATATAGACATTTTGTGTCAGAGAATCGTGTGAGACACTATCTTTAGATTTTTGTTTTTGAACTTCTGTTTTTGTGGTGGCTCTGTATATTTATATAGCATCACTGTTGAAGAGTATTTAGCAGGTGAAGTGGATTTACTTATTGTAGAGTATCATGTGCATTGTAATGTTTGAAACAGACATCATAACAAATGTCAGTAGACTGCAAAGATTTTAAAACGAGCTGTTCATTCTTAAATTTGTATGACCTTATGTTCATGCTTTGGAAATACAAACCGGGAGACAGAAGAGAATGAGCGCAGCACTGAAAAGGGTCTAAACGTTTTCCTAATATCCTAACTCAACTCTAGTGAAGCAGGTAGACCCCATAAGAGTTATAACAAACCCAAAGGTTTATTGAATGAACAAACACAAACAAAAGAAAACAATAAACCATAAGACAGAAATATGTAAAGAAAGATTATTGAACTAACACAATGATGGAAAATCACAATACATTACTCACAGTGCTACCATACTTTATGCGACACCCCACACCTTCAAAAAATGCAATGACTAAAAATGGTCAGACCAAGAAAAAGAAATTCCGTTAACTCAAATACAATCAAATCACTCTTCTTAAAAATCCATTAGGACGTAGGCGTTGCGTGATTAGTGACGAGCGCAGAGAGAGAACAAAACAAAATGCCGTTCACGAATTAGAAGCACAAAACGAGGATTTGTAAAGAAAAATGTCGGAGGATTTCGATATAAGCCAAGAGGAGACTGGTTTTCCTTTGCTAAAGTAAGGAAACTTTGTTTCCTTTGCTCCTTTGCTCCTGCATTTCTCAGAGGCGTGCGCACAACTGTGCACAACCGTGCGTCATCTGTCTGAACGTCTTCCGTGTACCACAGTCAGCGGAAGTGAGAAAAAGTGTTTATTACATTATGGATATGGATATTTATCTTACAAAAACGCATGGATTCGCTACAGGAGGCCTTTATTCATGCCCCAGATCTGTGTGACGCACGTTTTATTACGGATGTGTGCACTTTATTTCACATCTTATGAACTCTTGACAACAAACACCCGCTTACCCCCATTTAAAGACTTGGAGGGGCCAGGACAATTTTTAATATAACTCCGACTGAATTCGTCTGAAAGAAGAAAGTCATATACACCTAGGACGCCTCGAGGGTGAGTAAAATACAAGCTAATTTTCATTTTTGGGTGAACTAACCCTTTAACA